AGCATCTGTTAGCTGAAATATGTCAATTGGTATACACAAAAATTGTGAGGATAACACAGATTAACACAATTTTAATTCTGCTACACACAGAGTATGAGTTAGGTCCATCTGTGTCGAATGTAATAACAATAACAGCAAACCTTTCCTAATGAAAAAATAAAGTTCAGAAAAATAACATGTAATGATTTTCTAAGAACTTTTGAAAACATATCAAAGGAAAGCAAAAGTGAAAAATCTCTAATAAAGGACCATTACAAACTAGTTTTAAAAAGACAGAGAGTTTAAATTTGGTAAAAGTCACAACAAAGATACAAAGGTTCACACCCATCTGATAGATCTTAAAATATCCTGGGCAAAAGAGATAACTGGCAATGAGATGAGGCAATTATGGCAAGCCAGTAACTTGAACTGTATCTTAGCAAGATTTCTGGACTTTAAGTTAAAACAGAGTTCCAATTTTCTACTTTGCCACGTGTACAGCCTTGATTAACTCAGCTGACTTGTCTGAATCTCAATTTATTTATTCAGTAAATATTTAACTATTTAGCTATTTAACTATTGCAATATGATATTTACTTGGCTAAGTTTTAGAAAGAAGGTTGGTACAGAGGAAAAAGGGCATTAAAGACAAATGTTGTTGCTGTTATGTATCCTCAAGCTGAAACCAATGCATAGCTGATCCTCTAGCAGATTTTCAGAGGTAATAAATTGTATGGAACCAGATTCCTTATCTTTCTTTCACAAAACAGCTGGTGGATTAAAATAATTTGCCTTTGGCTGTTTGGAGCAACTCCTTACCATTAAGCCACCAGAACTCCCTAAAAAACTCCAAAACCCTCAAGCAAGCAACAAAACTCCCCCAAAACAAGTAAGTGGTCTAAGATAGTTAATGATACCTTCATACAATTTTCTCTCAGAGCCATGGAGTCAGAACCAAGTTAAAGCTGACAATCCAGTGGTTTTTACAGGCTTTTTTAGGGAGGAGACTGACTATTTTCTTATATAGAGCCCTTGCTTGATTATAAAACGCTGGAGAAATGCCACCACTGGGCTAGGAGCACGACTCCCTTGGATCTACGAGCAATGAAGTTATGAGTACATAGGAAACATAAACTGACTCTGAACCAGCTGAAAACTTGTGTAAGTGTGGTAATATTTTAACTAAGTATTAAAGGCATAATAATCTACTGCCATTTATCTGATCTAAGATCTAGTGACCAATAGGACAGTAGAACTTGCTCCATAGTTTCCTAGGCTATAAAATCTTTACAGTAATATACTGTCACATCTTTCTCTTGCTGAGCAGATGGTGGAGATTCATTCCTTGAGAATATCTTTAGTGGACTTAAGTTGCTTTAATCATTCTAATTTTCTACCCTTCTATCCTTCCATATCCCAGTCCAGGCTTTGTTGCAGACCATCTACAATCTTTGCATAGTCTTACTTGTCAACACAATCTATTCCTCCTTTAATCAAATGGCCATCATTTGATGTCAGTTTGCTATACTGTAGTGACTTGAGTATTGCTATAATTCTGGAAACTATATCACTAGGACTTGAAATACAGTATTTATTCATTCAGTATAGCAAGAATCTGTGCTGCAATAGCAAAGGCATGTGGTTCGATGACACCAGCCACTCCACAGAAGAAAGAGAGACAATCTTGTTCTGTGCAATTAACTGTCTCTGAAAACCTGCTAGAAGGTCAGCTATGAGTCAGTTCTGACTCTATGATATACAATAACAACAATGTCAAGCAAATATTCTGAAGATCTAGACTCGATAAAGAAGAGTATGACATGAAAATTGAAGGAAGACTCATCAACAAGCTGCATTATGCAGATGATAAAACTTTGCTTTCAGAAAGTGAAGACTTGAAGTATTTACTGAAGATCAAGGCTGTCGCCTTAATTATGGATTACAACTCAACATAAAGAAATAAAACATCCTCACAAATGGACCAACAGGCGACATCATGAAATATAGTGAAGATGTTTAATTTGTCAATTATTTCAAGAATTCAAACAACATATTGCATTGGACAAATCAGCTGTCAAATATACATGAAAGGAAGACCAAAGAATCAATGACTTTGAATTTAGATGTTGTGAAGAATCTTAAATTCACCAGGAACTGTCAATCAAATAGACAAATCTGTCCAGCTAGTTTGCTCTTTAGAAGCAAAGATAGTGAGAATTTGTTTCACTTTTTTTAGCGTGCTATCAGGAGGGGCTCATCTTTGCAAATGGGCACCACTCTTGGTGAAGTAGTTCAATAAAAGAAAGACCTTCAATGAGATGAATGGATACAGTGATTGCAACAAAGGGCTTAACCACAATAGAGGTC